CTTGCCAGACCTTCTGCTTCTACCCAAATTCTAAATATCTACTCTTCTCCCTCTGCATTCTCTCAAGTAGTCACATCCATAATTGTAGCTGTAGATATCACCCATATACTAAAGATTCCCAAATTGATGCCTCTAACCTAGACTTCCCAATAGCTTCGGTCATGTGTATGCCATGCCTCCTGAACATAGTAGCTTGGTGTTATACCAACAATCTCACACATGAGCAGACACACATGATCAAAACAGAACTTCTCATATTTACTACACTTTTCTCCTGCCTGCCTCCCAAAGCCTGTTCTTCCTCTGGTTTTCTACATCTGAAGAAACAACATTTCTACCCAATGCAACTGCTCAGCCAGAAACTGGGGAATCATTCTTTCTCTTACTCCCCCACCAATTCATAAGCAAATCTTGTCAATTTGATATCTAAAATATATCTTGATTCCATTAATTTCTCTCCACATCTACTGTCATCATCCTGGGTGATGTCATCATCATGACACTATCATTCTCTCTCATCTGGTCTCTGGCTAAACCTTCCAGTTGACTGTCCAGCAGCTAGAGTGGTCTAAAAAAGAGATCAGATCATGCTGTGCCTCTATGGAAAGTCCTTCAAAGGACTCCTTATGAGTTCAGCACAAAATCCAAACTCTTTCAGGCCTTCTCTCTCTATAGCCCTGCCCTCTGTCCACCTCCATAGCCTTTCCCTGTCTACAACAGACCTCCTCTAGGCACCAAGAACTTACCGAGCTTTTCTTACCTTGGGTGATCTCTGCCTAGGACCCTCTCCCTCACACTTCTGTACCTGTTACCTATTCTTCAGGTCCTTTCCTGTTTCACCTGTTATTTTCTCTCTCATGTAACTCAATTCTCTTTCTACCATCACATTTTCTACAACCTGTAATTAATTACACATTGCATTGTGTGTTTATTTGTTTACTGCTTTCCCCACTGGGTTGCTCCCAGACAGCAGCTGGGACTGGATCTGTTTCTCATCACTGAGCACAGAGTGCCTAGCTCAGGGGAAGGCACAGGCAGGATGCTCCATAAATATTTGCTGAATTAATTCATTTCTTCCCTTCTGCTCCGTGTCATCTGCTACCTTAAAAGTATGCTCTAACAGGAAGGCTCTACTACTAAGAATACCTTAACACGCCCCCTCTCCAATAACCCACAATACCCAAAGTCCAAATTTTATAAAAACCAGAAGACTTTGTTTTACAAACATATAAATTATTTTATTTACAAAGCCATGTTACAAAATAAAAACAAAAAGCAAAGAAACAAAAACAAAAAACAATCGCTCACTGGAGAATGTCTCCAGGCCTGGTGCAGAACCAGGGCAGTATCAATAGATACATGTTTGTTCTTTCCTTTTAAAAACTGTAAGCCATAGGATTTACTATTTACACCTATTTTAGACATTTATTCTGCTTACAACATCACAGGCATGGAATGGATTCTATCTGATAGTGCTAATACATAAAGGTGCGGGACAAAGAAGGAAAATATTTAGTGTTACAAAATATGGATCGTAGAAAATTAACCCACTCCACAAGTGTGGCATTTGTTCAGAATGACTGGACATGCTTTCTTCAAAATTTTTCTGGAAAAGGTTCTAAAATTGATAGTAGGAAAGGACAATTGAGCAGGTGCAAATTCTCGTCTGTGCAACAACAGTTAATTAATATACCCCATGACTGACCAGCTACGGAAAACCCACAGAGTTTTGTTAAAGTGCCGTGGGCCGACAGCATAACAAAATATAAGGTGTAAATAGAAAATTTATTTTTTTTCCTTTTTTAAAACAAGAGTTCACTGAGAATCAGCAATAATAGAATATGCTGTATAAACTATTCTCTACAAAGGTTGATCAGCATTATTTACAACTGGTACATTGATACAAAAGAAGGCATACAAGTTATCCAAGTTGCTTTTTTTTTTAAAAACTTTTTTTTTTTTTTTTTATGGCTGGCAGGTCTATGCATCGCGGGATGTGTAACAACCAGAGCTTCGGGGCCTCTATGGCTGCAGACAAGTCACGAGATCTTCAGGCAAATAGGGGTGTGTGCAGTCGAGGGGCTGGGAGAGAAGGCTGCGTGGGGTGTGCAGAACAGAAGTACCCAAAGGATATCACCCTAATGATGCTGTGTAGGCTGGTCCAGTTTAACTCCATGGAAACAAACCGAGAAAGAAAGCCTTTATTTGCATTCCATTTTTCAAGCTGCAAGTTTTCAATACATCATTATAAAGTAAACCTGTGGTTGATTATGGAGGAAGAAATACCGTGGGTTTTCCCTTTTTGCTCAGTTTTCTAGAAATGTCATCCCCTTGGTCCGAGCCAGTCTTTCACAATGTAAGCAGCATTCGGTGGGGAGCCTGTTTATTCCAGCTTCCAAGTCAAGATGGATGCAGAGAGCAAACATGTTTAAACCTATCAAATTGCTCTTTTAGTCCCTGTTGAGACGTTATTTCTCAGAAGCAGCCACTTAATCTCACAACCTTTGTTTTCCCTCTTCGAGTATAAGAGTTTATAAATCAGAGGGTTATTTTGTTGCTGAGATTTTTTTTTAACTCCTGTAAGTTTTACAACTCAAAATAAATTATAAAAACAACAGACTTCTAAAACTGAACAAGACCAAAATTGTGCAAAAATAACAAACATATGTACATAGTTTTCAGTCTGAAGAAATGTACAATAAAAACATAATTCAAAGAACATTTTAAAAATATAAACATTGCTTAAACTTTCCTAAGTTTCATATTGTTTCTGAAACTATTCTGGTCAGTTAGCTCTGTAATATAGTAAAACATAAATTATTACAAAATTAACACTATAAAAATTTACTTTAAGAATATCTTCTAAACTTTTTTTTTCAAAGGGTGTAACCTTGTTTATAATTTCTTAAACATTTATAAGTCTTAAAATCTGCCTTAACTTTTTTTTTTAAAAAGAGAAAAAGTTACAATCTTCCCTTCAATTTGCAGTCTCTTTTCCCCAAGATGTAAATTATAAACCAGCATATAAGTGCACTTTTAACACTGTAGAAATAAAAATGAAATCATCTGAACTAAGGTCCTAGTACCTAATAGCAACTCCTGATTTTTAAAAAAAATCTTCATCTTATTTTAAAAAATGTAGTAGTCCTGTAAGTGCAATTCCATAGATGCAAATCACTCCGTTTGTCTCCCAACTCTGCAAATTCCAATCACATGATGAAACTTAACAGTAGTCTGATCTTTGGGTTGAGAAAGAAAAGGAAAACTCCAGGGTGGGAATGGGGTTTGTGCCCAGCTGCAAAAGTAGCATTCCCTTCTGATTTCCAGATGAAGCAAAACCTCTTAGTAGCTCTGCTACTTTAAATAACATTAGCTGAATAGCTTATGCAAAGCTACAAAATTAACAGCATAAAAGCCCATTGTAGAATTGATTCTGACTCTTAGGGACCCTGTAGGACAGAGTAGAGCTGCCCCATAGGGTTTCCAAGGCTGTAATCTTTAAGGAAGCAGATTGCCACATCTTCCTCCCGAGAAACAAGGAGCAGCTGGTGGGTTTGAACCGCCAATCTTTTTGTTGGCAGCTGAGCACTTAACCACTGTGCCACAAGGGCTCTTTGATTAACAGTGTAGAACCCCTATTTATATTGTGAATTCCTTTCCTGATTATGATTCCCTATTAGAGCTTATGGTATTTGTTTCTTTCCAAACTCCAGTGTGACAGATACACAGCTGCAGGGCTCCGACTTCTCTCTCTTCCAAATGGCTCTTTACCATTCCTTCCTGTGGGGGCTGCACCACATCTGGGGCATCTGAGAATCTAGCGCAAGCTGATCTCTGAGTATGCTGATCTTGTGTCCCTGTGGCCCAGGCGTGGAGATTGGTGGGAAATGCTAGAATTTACTCTCACAAGGGGTTTGACACATCACCTAACCTCCTCCCGGGAAGTTTCCCCCCGGAGGCCCTCCTTCCCTGTGTTTTCTCCCCTTGCCTGGCCCTGGAGGCTGCTAGGGCACTTTCCACAGCTGGGGATGCTCAGCATCCTCCTGGAGTGGCTTCCTGACCAGGCCTCTTGCTGCCTTTTCCCTGGGATTCCTTCCTTTCTGGCTTCCTCAGCCTTGGGCTCTTGCACACTGGGCCCTGGGAGGGCTTTCCGCAGTGTATTCCTAATAAGCTCAGACCATTACAATCACCAGACTCCCACCATCTTTTTAGAGGAACCCTTTATCCCCTACACTATGTTTCCTATCACCCTCCCAGGACCATTCCAGCCTCTGTCCCTGACCCAATCTATCCTTTCTGAGCTGCATGGCTGGACAGTAGTACTGAGTAAACGACACCATTAGATGGCTGCTCTTCTCAATTTTGTCCATAGTATTTGGCTCCAGCCCTAGTGGGCCCCAGAAGTCTGATGAGGGCACCCTGCCCAACCGTCAGCTCTCTGCTGTCAGCTATTCCCAGAACACCGCCCTCAGCACGTTGCTGTAAGAGGGGCCAGTGAGAGCCAGCTTCTTCTAATGGCCAATGGGGACCCTGTGAGTGGCAGGTGGGAGGGATGTGGGGGAAAGGACAAGGAAGAAAAGGAGCATTTCACATGCTAAAGTTCAAGAGTTTCAGGCGATGCCAACCTGGAACTGACATTCTGCCATATCTGCTCTCCATGGCTGGAGCAAAATGATGGTGCAATAGCAGCAGCAGAAGCTGGAGGAGTGACCTCAAATGCGGAAGAATGTATAAACTGGTAGCAAATGAAAGACAATGGAAACACAACACTGGTATCGTTTTCCGTAAATCTCGAATTCACGTTCTTTTTACCTTTCTCTTTTTCTTCAGAAATAAAAATTGGTCAGTTTTTTTTTTTTAAAAAGAAGAAAGGCCAGAGCCATAGGTAGGGCACAGGAAATTGCTCTCCCCAACCGCCCACTCCCTCCCTCCTCCTCTGCCAAGGCCTCCTGGTGGGATCAGGTGGCCAGGAATTGGTTTGGCAGTGACTTGTCCTCTGGTTATGGAAGAGTCCTTATCCTGCTTGTTCTGTTTGTGGTCTTCTAGGAAAGAAAGGAAAAGCTTGTCTCAAAATCAGACATTTTGGGTTGCACACCCAATTCAAGGACTGAACCTCTGTTTTCTCATCTATAATAAATGAGTGTATCCCATTTCTTGCATACGACAAAGGGCAGCTGCCCTGAGCAAATGAGACAGGTGTAAAGCACCCTAGAAATGTAAGGGAGCCACAGAGATCCCAGCTGTGGAGGAAAACACAGGGCAGATAGGTGACTCTTTCTGTTTAGAAAACAGTGATCTGTTTTCATTTTTTTTTTCTTTCCAGTAGCTCATTTTTTCCTACATAACCTATAGATGACATGGGAAATTAAGGTGGAAGGATAGTGTTGGGTTAACCACACGGGCTATGGAGACAGAGGCCATAAAGTTACTTAGCTGCTCTTACAGATGAAGTCCAGGCATCTTCATCTACAAAAAGCAGGATAATCATTTTGTCCTCTGAAGGATTACAAAGTTTTAAGGAAATAATGTATGTCAAGGGCTTATTAGCACAGCAGTGGCAGAGAAAAAGGCTGAACAAGTGGCAGCTCTTGTTATTATCATTACTGTTACACTTGTCAAGGCTGGCCACCAGCATCTGGGGCTCTAGGCAGGTGTACAGAGAGCTATGGACACATACTGTGTATGGTAAGGGTGAGACTGTGGTCTCCAGGTATGCTCGGCAACGCCTGCAGAAGGCCTGCCTTAACCAGAGGCAGATGCCCGAGCAGATGCCAGCCAGGTGATGGGCCACAGGTGCTCAGGCACAAAAAAGACACAATGACTCAAAAGGGTAAACAGACCCTCCTTCACCAATGAGTTTGTGTCTCACTAGGAGACACAAACTCTTTGCCCATAATCTGCACCGGAGATTAGCCAAGATTTGTAGGAAATGCCTAATGGGCAAAATGCAAACACAATGCAATCTGGTGTCTACAAAACCTCCAGCACATCTAAGGCAACATAACAACATAGTCATATATGTGTAAACTGTTTCCTACCATGTATAACATGCATAACCCCCCCCCATCGTATCTGCCCCCCCCCCCACTCCACTGGAGAAAAACACATATTCACTGGGCTGGTACACTGACTACCCTCACACCTCGAGTTTATGAAAACTCCCGAGTCTTTCCTGAATATTTCCACCCTGACACCACATTTTGAATGGGAATTAGGGCTTGGCTGTTGAGAAAGCATTGATTGACAGCTGCCATGGGCAAGGGCTTTACTCATTATTTCATTTTCAAGATAATCAGAGGTAGGCAGCAACTTTGCCATTTAACGGATGAAAAACCCAAGACTCAGAGAAGGAATATATCCAAGATCATCCAAACCAAAAAACCCACTGCCATCAAGTTGATTCTGACTCATAGTGACCCTACAGGACAGGGTAGAAGTGCCCCACAGAGTTTCCAAGGCTTAAAATCTTTATGGAAGCAGACTGCTGCATCTTTTTGCTGTGGAGCGGCTGGTGAGTTCGAACCGTCGACCTTTTGGTTAGAAGCCCAGCACTTTAACCACTGTGCCACCAGGGATCCTCATCTAAGATCATAGAGCTGGTTATAATAAAAACAATAATAACAGCAATGAACATATCTTGTACATTAACTATGTGCCAGGCATTTTCTAGAGGCTTTATGTGAATAAACTAATTCTCACAAAGACCATTTGGGGTGGGGGCCATTACTCTCCTCATTTACAAACGAGGAAGTGGAAACAAAGAGAAGTTAAGTGATTTGCTGAACGGCACACAGCTGGAAACCCAAAGGCCTCAGTTTGGAAGCTGGGTTGCTTAACTCCACAGTCCAAGCTGTTAACTACGACACCAGACTAGAGGCAAGATTTGTACCAGCGTCTGATCCCAACACCCACATGCTCCACTGTGTCGGTGACCCTGTGTGTTTTTTCCCCCATAACTTACCTGTCGGTTATGTCCTGGGCTGGATATGCTTGAAGGACTGGATTGTGAGAAAGCTAGGCTGCTATTTTTCCCAACCTGAAAGACACCAGTGAAGCCCTACTTAGACACAGGAGCCGGCTTGGGGAAGGTGCTAGGTGTGTCACTAGGGGGAAAGAAAGGGCCACCCCAGAGTGGTGCCAAGCTGATTCGAACTGGTGTTTCCATCTTAAATGGCAGAGAAAATGGGGATGTGTCAGACGGTGCGTTGCTGATGGTCCTCTCATCCCCAGAGAAGAGGGCTGCTGGGAGCTCTTAATTCGGCTTCTCCAGATGGAGACACTGCCAATTTCATGGACGGGAATGAAGGTGTCTGCTAGAGGCCCCACCACTCCAGGAGCATCTCACTCATCAAAGGCCAACTTTTCTACTTGTGGCCAGAGTCACACATGCTTATCTACCTCTGCCCCCCAGTCCCAGACTCATCTTGTTTCTAGTTCAGACTCCCTTGGACCACCTAGGACAATGTTTGGATCAGTTTTCGCTGCTAGGAGACCTAGCTCACACCCTGATATTCTTCAGAAAAATAACAAGATGGTGCGGGGCTTCCCCTCTAATTACCAGGGAAAACTCACTGCCATCGAGTTGCTGTCAAGTTGATCTGACTCAGAGTGACCCCTCCTTGGGTTTCTGAGGTGGTATCACTATGGAAGTAGGTCACCCAATCTTCCTTCAGAGGAGTGGCTGGGGGGTTTGAACCGCCAGCCTTCTGGTCAGCAGTCAAATGCCTTAGGCACTATGCTACCAGGGAAGGCAGGAAGATTTGCCTGAGGTGAGTTCCTAGGCAGCAGTACTCTGTGGTCATCGGGCTCTTTTGCCTTTCCCTGTAGTTGTTCTTGACACATGGACGGCAGCTCAAACCAGCCAGTGTCTGATACTGCCCCCATGTCCTTGCCATTAGCCAGTTTGTAAAGGCAGGTCCTGCCTTTGGTCTATCAACAGCCTGTCCTCTACATTATATGCCATTGCCTAAAGACACTTGCCTTACATTCTGAGTCTTATTTTTGCTCAAGTTAATACCTGTGTGGCCAATTCTGGCTTTACATTTACCAGACAATCAAATAAATCCCCAACTTGTCCCCAAAGCACATATTTATCTTGGATTTCTCAATCTCCTGCTATTTCCCAATCTCCTAACAGAACCAATCTGGACCCCAAAGGCCTTTGCCTTCCATCAACACCTGGAAATCACTGGTAGTGACCCCAGGAAAAGCCTTTTATCTGGCCTGGTGACAAGCTACTGGTATCTCCCTCATTAGAGAACCAATGCTGACTAGCCATGGGGCAGCCATTAAAGCCATCACTTTTTTTTATTTCCCTCCTAGTGAACACTCTCTGGTGGAGGCATGACTGCCCCTTTTGCCTCTGGTTTTGGCTGATTCACCATGTTTACTAAGCATTTCCTATGAGCCTGCAGACCAAAGAACCAACAAGCAACATGTACTCGGTATAGAGGCACCGCACTCACGGCATAGAGGCTAAGAGCCCAGACTCCAGAGCCAAACTGCCTGGGTTTAAATCCCAGCCCTAGCAGCTGTGTGACTTTGGACACATTGCTTAAATTTCCTGTGCCTCGGTTTACTCATCTGTAAAATGGGGGTTGTGGCTGTTAGTCGAGTCAGCTCTAGGGATAAGAAATAGCTGAAGGAGCCCTGGTGGTGCAATGGTTAATGGCAGTTTGAACCCACCCAGTAGCTCCATGGAAGAAAAGACTTGGTGATCTGCTCCCATGAAGATTCCAGCCTGGAAAACCCTATGGGGCAGTTCTATTCTGTCACGGGGTCACTGTGAATCGGGATCGACTCAATGGCACACAACAACAGGTAATCAGTAAATGACTTCGTGTATCTGAAGTACCTGGAAGAGAGCTAATCACATAAGTAAGTACCAGGTGCTTATTTATTTAGCTTTATCTAAAATGGATGAGGGACTCAGACACTTACTTTCTATTCAACGTGTGCCCTGCAAACAAGTGCAGTAGCACTGCCTGAGCTGTGAGCAATGCAAGGCAGGGCCCTGTGGGTGCTAACCCCCACCCTCACATCTGGAACTGGGGAGTCAGAATGGAGGGTGTGCCTGTGCCCACCAGGCTGACCTACGTCTCCCCCTCCTCTCACCTTAGCCTTGGTCTCCAGCTTGTCTGGCCTGTGAGTTCCAATCTTGCAGATGCTCATGTGTTTATCTGTAATTTGTGAATCCCTCTCAAGATTTTCTCTTGGTGAGGTTTTAACAATTCTCATCAACAGTGCCACAAAACAAGAAAACATATTTTTAACAACTGCCTTCCACTCCTCCAAAGTCTTCATTCCTATAGATAGGGGCAGGGCTTAGGGCTTGGCCAATGTCACCCTGTGGTGGCAAACCTCAGGCTGCTGCCATAGACAGCGTGGATACACAATCCTTACAGGTGGGTGGTACCTCCCACACTGTCTTGGTCCACGGAGACCACCAGGCTGGACCCTCCCCATCTTTGTGCTCTCCTCAGCTGCCCAAAGGGGACAAGAGTCTGAGGCGTGTGGTGGGCTTTCCTGGGAATTTTTCCCAACCTTAGGAGGAAGACTAAACTTGGGATGAGAACAGAGCTCAAGGGAAAGAAATACCACATCTCCCCAGCTTTCCCCACCATATACACCCGCATTTGTACAGTGTCACTAAACCCTCCTTTGCCAGTTTGCATGAGGTGTGCTTTTACTTTTGGAAGGAAGTTATATTGGGAAGAGGTAGCACCATAAAGTGAGAAAAGCAGTCCCTTGGGGGCCAGGACACACAGGCTTTGTCTTGACCCAACCACCCTCTAAGTGGGACCCTAGCTGCGTTGTCACATAACCTGCCCAGGCCTCAGGCGCCTCCTAAGGGGATTCCAATAGATCAGATAAACTTTTTAGCAACGGGACTCTTTAATTTAATAAAATCGTCCTCAGAACCTCAAGATATAAAATCGACAAAAGTGGAGTGGGGGACTCAGGATCTCTTGGTGCCTCAGTTTTGTCCTCTGTAAAATGGTGCTAATAATCATTCCAACTGCACTGGTTGCTGTGAAAAAGAGATGAGGCAATCTTTGTAAAGTGCTTAGAACAGTGCCTTGTACATAGTAAGAGCTACATAAAGTATCTGTTAAACAAACTGCTCTCAAAGCAGAGGGTGAACATTGCGGGTGGGGAAAACGGTGACAGGAGTCAAGGTTATGGCTAAGCAGGGGCGCTGCCCTGTTCCCCCTGCCCCCTAGAGCCGATGAAGGCAGTGCCAGGAGGGCCCTGGAAGGGTAGGTCCCTTACCTGCCGAGAGGAGGTGGTGTTAACGGGCTCGGGCACCGGTGCGAGAAGGTTGGGCGGGTTCTTTTTGTGAACGCTATTCATACCAGGCATTTTAGTGATTTTACAGGCTTTGCTACTAGAACTTGAGTTCTTACGCTTTTTTCCTTCTGATTTGTCAAAAGAGAGGGGCAGAGAAGACCCGGCATTGTGTGAGGCCAGGTCCCCCGCGTGGGGCGTAAGGGAGGGCGCCGAGAGGGGACAGGAGTCACTGCTGCCGCCCACCGTGCCCACACGCCTCACTGAGTCCGTGGGGCCACCGGCCAGCGAGGTCCGTCCTGAGGGCTCCAGCTTGGCACTGAGTGGGCTCACCCCATTGTTGGTGTTGTGCACAGACAGACTGTTATAGGAAGGGGCCGCCTGATAGGAGTTCAAAGCTGAACTGGCATTCAAAACACAGTTCTTTTTGTGGGGCCCTGATAATGGAGACGAGAGGGATGTCTGCAAGGATAATGAGGAGGAAGAAGAGGAGGAAGTCGAAGACTGTGGCTTCCTCTTTTTGTTACTTGGAGACTCGTCGCTACGGGCGGACAGGTCTTTGACTTTTGAGGATTTGCTGGTTTTGGTTTTGGATGGCTTGTGGGATGGGGAAGGGATGACGGCTGGTATCGGGGACACAGCAGAGGGGGCCTTGAAGGTTGAGTCCATGATGCTGAGGGTTGCAGCCACATGAGGGAAAGCTGTGGTGTGTGACATGAGGGCGCTCGGGTCCGGCGATGTCACAAAAGCTGCGTTTGAGAGCATAGCGGATGTCATTATGTAAGAAGAGGTGAGTCTCGAACTGATGGGAGCTGAAGGAAGATACACGGCACTGGGGTTGCTGAAAGGCTGTAGGACGGATGCCGGAACGGGGGTGGTGATGTGGGCTGCTGGCGAGGGCATGGGGCTATCTGCCGCAGGAGGGATCTTCCTAAATGCGAGAGAAGAGTGAAAGAGAAACAGTGAGAAACAGGGCTTGTGTGGTTCGGGAGGCTCCGATTGTTTGGGCATCAGGGCTACAGAGGAGACCCCGGCAGAACCAGACTATGGAAAATGAAGCCTTGAAGGATGGTAAAGTCTGAATTATGGCCCTTCCTTATGGCTTTCCCAATGCAACACCCAGCAACCTCTTTTTAAATACTTTCAGGTTCCCAGGTTTTATTCTCCATGCCTGGATACTTGACAATGGCCGAGTTGGGTTCATGAATAAAAGGCAAATGTTATTTAGAACATAAATTTCCCCAATAAGCATCCTGTCCTGCCCCCAGTTTTAACAGTGATGGAGGTGTTATTTTAATGGGAAGTGGTCAATTCACTTAGGTCCTGGCTTGAAGGAAGAAGTGTGAGGAAAGAGCTTTATCATCTGCACAGGTGGGCTAACACTTTCTCCCTTCCTCATGGCAGCCTTGACCCACTGGCCCTCAGGGCCCCCAGCGTCCTCTATATCCCTGCTTTCCTACCCTACTCTAGGCTGGGAATAGCCCTCTCCTCACAGGCCAGCACCCTTTTGCAGTCTATAACCTCTGGTTTCTTCTGTGGAAAGGCATTTCCATGTTGGCTTATAGCCATTGGCTCCTGTTGGCCCAGCTATGGTGGCTTCAGGGCAGTGGGGGCTCAGGGACTTGGGAGATGATACAGATGCCAAGTTACCCGTATCATACTCAGAACTGATTCCCCCCACCCCTACTCACCCTATCCCGCCCAGCTGTTCCCCAGAGGAGCTGTAACTGGGACAGGGCTGCTCTTCACCAGCTCTTCATGTCCCTGTAAGTAAGGGGTGAGAGTGCAGGAACCTTCATGTGTCCAGAGAAGGGGATCAGGAGCCTCTAGTTTGTTCTGAAGATAAATGCAGGATATGGGCAGGAAGAGGACATACGGACAGGGGAGAGTCTGAAAGCAGACATCCTGCCTCCTACACTGTGCAGCCAAGGCCAGCACCTTGCAGGTTGCTCTGGGGGCCTCCCTGCCAACCTTACCTTTGGTGCTGGAAACAGCTGCCAGTTTCAAACCATGGCCTGGGTCACTGTTGTTGCCACTCTGGGGGCTGGGAGGAGGCCCAGGGACTTTGAGGTCACCATTTGTGCCTGATTTTGCAGGAAAGGGCACTAACACCAGGATCCAAGTGAATATCTTCAAACTGATTCTTTCCTATTTCTCACCTTGCTCTCCCTCTTTCCCCTGAAAATAATGTTCAGATTGTTGGGGCTCTCCGAGGAGCCCTGGTGGGGCAGTGGTTAACCACTTGGCTGCTAACTCAAAGGTAGGCAGTTCAAACCCACCAGCTGCTCCACGGGAGAAAGATGAGGCAGTTCAAGACTACAGCCTTGGAAACCCCACAGGGCAGTTCTACCCTATCCTATAGGGTCGCTGTAAGTGGGAACTGACTCGACGCTAATAGCTTTGGTTTTGAGGGGCTTGCAGCAATTAGGAACTAGCTTCCCCTCTCTGAAAGGAGCCCCTGAAGGGGGACTAGCCTGGATAAGGTGTGAGACAGGATCTTACATAGTCCCTTCTTTTCTCTGGAGGCTACCCTCCCAGCTGTGGCGTCAGGAATAAGAGCTAGAGAACTCTGGAGAAAGCCCCATTGAGAAGTAAATGTCCCTCCTAGTACTCTCTTTGAAGATCCCGCTTTCTACCTGCCCCTTTGGTGAAGCCTGTGGCTTCCATCTTTAGGGTGAGATCTGGAGGAATGCTTAAATACAGAAGCACAGCATCCTTGAAAATGTCAGACCAAGGACATCCAATGTAAGAGAAAAATGTCACCAAACCCACAGTAACCACGATGGCATTTGAGAATTTACTTTTCCTCAAGCCTAAAGGATGTAAAAGGTCCTGTGAGTACTAAACAAGGTGCTCTCTAAATTCTGTTGCAATGATGAATGAGCGACCGAATGATGGATGAATGGGTGGGTGGATGGGTGAGCAGGTGAATTGTCAGCAGCCACACAACCGTATTGTCAGGGACTTTGCATGCTGGGCAAGGACTCCCACCTAATCAGACCAGAAAGGCCTGAACACATCCTAAGGACTGTCTGGCACTGCACAACCCTCTTCCTGATAGGGCTGGGAGCATTTCAGTGTGAGAAGTTAGCAAACTTTCCCTCCTGTCTGATGCCTTGCTGTGCATTACAGGCAACGCAGTCAATCTTTCCTTAACTAAAATTTCCTTACCAGCCAAGGCACAGGAAGAAATACATGGGGTAGAAGGCTTGGCAGTTACTTGTAATACAAAGTTATTTGCAAATACCAGATGGCTCATTTAGAGCAGACCCCAATCAGTGACCTTAAGTGGGATCTACTTTTAATGCCTCAATGTATAATGGTCCAATCAAGTAATATAAATTCATGCTTCAACTTGCTGAAGCAGGGTTCGACTAGCAGAGCTGAAGTGGGGTTGAAGTCCTAAGTCTTACCTGGCTGACACTGAGGTAAGGGGTGGGTGTTACTTTTCAGCATACTTTCTATCCTTTTCCTTCCTATCTCCATTAATCTTAAGTGGGTACCAGGGGTGAGCAGGGAGCAGGGGAGGAGCATGTGGACAGCTCCCTGTCCCCCGGGAGCCCCTTCACCCCATGCTAAGCTGTCTATGTGTTTTTCTAGGTGCCAAATAGCAGTGGATTCCAGCTGTGTGGGCTGTGCCCAGGGTGAAACATTGCACACTGGCCTAGGGAAGTCGCATACAGAAGCCCACAGATGCAAATAGATGACTGACAGTGCCCCTCCGCCCCTGCCAGCTGGCACAGAGGTCCAGATGCTGACCTGGCTGAAAGAGAATACTGTGTTGGCGTCTCCTGATGCAGAGTTAAATGCTTGTTAAAGAAAAAAGAGTCTTGGCCGTTCCTTTTCTTCCTAATGTCTTCCATGCCCCCATCGGCTGCCATCCCTCCGGGTTCGGGCCCGTCGGGGCCTGGGGTTTGGGCAGCGAGGTTGAGAGGGCAGCGGGGCGCTACGCTCTCCAGAGTTGACACCCAGGCAGCCCCAATGTTGCTCAGTGACAGCAGATTGGTTAGGCAAGTCCTGAAAAGGGGGGAGGGACCTGATGCCCTGTGGCTTGGGCTTCTGTGCCTGAGGAGGAAAGGAACATGGAGCTTGAGCTGACAGGACACCAGGTAGCGAAATACAGATCAACACATTCCTGCCACGTGTCCAGGATTTTTACACTTCCATAACAAAGGAGAGCAAAGAGCTGCTGGATAAATAATCAAATCACTGAGAACCAGGTCACCCCACATGCTGCAGCAATTGATTGCTATTTTGAGTGGATGCAGGTGCACCGAGGGTGCCTTTCAGAAGCACAGGGCAGTCACTGAGATGGAAGAAACGATAAGCTTCTCTTGTGGCCCTTTCCGACTTTACATGAAGTGTCAACATTTGGTCCTGAGCCTGTTATGAGAGTTTGCTGCAGACTCGAAGGAAACTTATTCTAGAAGCTCAACTCTGGAAACTCTTGGGAATGACGATAAAAAGGAGCCAAGGTGCCATAGCTGCCTGGGGAAGGGGGGCTGGAAACATGGGAGAGAGGCAGGTTTTGAAATTTGCTCCCACTCCTACCCAAGTACCCTCCTATTCCTCAGGAAGGCCTTCCTTGCCTGAGCTGGGCTTTCCTGGGGGCAGGGTAGGGGTTGGGAATCTCAACCACTCCTCATTGCTGGTGGCCCTCCTGGATCATCTGGGCCTAGGCTGAAGCCACACATAATTCTAATGGATTATGAAATCTTGAACACACCTTTCTAGGGGTAGGGGGTGGGGGACCCCACAGCCTGGCCTGACATTATCAAGTGGCAGAAAAGGCAGCTATTGATGTGCAGTAGGTGAGAGAATGTAGGCCTGTCATTCCTTCACTAGCATTTTACCCAGAGCGGAAGGTCTCTTTATAGTTTTGAACCTCCTATTAAAATGTAAATACACTGGGAAGTGTTGGAGGAAAAAGGGACCTTAAAGAAATGGAAAACAAGTCAGGATTCAGGATAGAAAGAAGTATGAGCAGAGGTGAGGAAGGGTTGCTAGGGAGGTGGGAAGGGCCAAAGACAAACTTCACAGTACTGCCTAGGATCTGCCCTGTTGGCAACTGTCCGCGTTTGTTCACAGGACATTAAATAATTAGAAACTGGTCTGTAGGGTTAGTGTTAGTGTTAGTGTAGTGTACATCACAAACAGAAGCAAATTATGCATATCCTTACACATTATTAGTCATAATAAAAAGGTCCCTTCACATAAGTAAACCAGATCTTATCTAATGTAATTTTTCTTAATTTAGAAGATTACCAATACAAAAATGATCCCCACAAAAAGAAAAAGCAGACAACACCCCAGATGGGCACATCATTAAGAAGAGCTGACATTTAAGAGTTAATCATGAATCCTAATTCCAGAATTGTTTTGTTCATTGAAAAGCCAACCCCCTGACATTTACTTAGAAAGTTAGGGCCCAGATAACTATGGGGCAGCTCTGATCTGAAATTGCCCAGCACCCACTCACGCTCACTTACTTCCACATCTGTGAATTCAAGTGTTTCTCTACCATGGAGTTTAGTGCGAATCGAAAACGATCCCATCTTCTATCAAACACATAGTACCCTCGTCCCATGAGGCGACTCCCAAATGAGCAAAACTGTGAGGAACAAAAACATTTTAATTTTGATTACAGGTTAATAAGCTAATACAAAGCATGCAGAGAGAATAACATTTGCATAAAAACACACAGGGGCACAATTTTACTCAAAATAAAGAAGCAAATAGTACTAAAGCCAAAAATATTTCTGTGGTGTTTCAGAACAAGCGCTAGGGTGTCTGCAGAACCTCACATTATAACCCAACAATAGCTGCATTCAATTTTCTGTGGCACTGAGGCCTAAATGCTCTACTCCTGGGATTGAGCCAGCATTTTAAGTTAAAAAAAAAAAAACAAAACAAAAACCCAGAAAACCCAACAACCAGTAGCCAGGGGGGCGGTTTTCAGCACCATCTGCTCACATCGCATCATCCATCTTCTCAGGCAATTCTGTGGCTCCCCGTTTCTCCTCATGGCGATGGGAGCTGCTTGTTCTGGTGTTCAAGGTCTTCTGCCAGCCGGTCACACATTTCCTATCTGATGTCAACAGAGCCACTTCATTTCCAAGTAGGCTAAATGCTTTCCTCTCCAAGTCCCCACCTCCTCTGATCCTCCCATTAGCACTTTCAAGCCCTGGACACTTTATTGTCGCCAAGCTTTCACTCGTGCTGTTTCCTCTGCCTGTCAGTGTCCTTCCCTCTCCTCTCTGCCAATCCCAATTCTACGCTTCTGTTGGTGCCCTAATGAAGACCCTGATTTTCTATGACTTTTATTGGGTTAAAGGTGGTGCAGTGCCTAAGGCATTTGCCTGCTAACCAGAAGGTTGGTGGTTCAAACTCATCAGCCACTCCATGAAGGAAGACCGGGCAATATACTTCTGTAAAGATTTACTGCCCCAGAAACCCAGTGGGGGTTGCTATGAGTCCGAATGGACTCAATGGCAGTGGGTTTGGTTTTGATTTTAAGTGGGCGAGTGGTTTGTGATTGGCTGTGAACCTAAAGGCTGGCAGTTTGAACCCACCCAGTGGCACTATGGAAAAAAACCTGGCAATCTGCTTTGGTAATGATTACAGCCAAGCAAATGCTATAGGCCAGTTCTATTCTGTAACACATGAAGTCGATTACAACACATGGCAATGGGTTTTGGGTTTGGTGTTGGTGTCTGATTAACCTTCCCACCTTGACTCCCCCATAGCACATCCTACTGCATACTTGATTCTCAATGACCTTAGAGTCACTGCATTGCTGCTTCTGTTCCATATGACATCTGATGCATCTGGCTAGATTATAAATAACAATCCATAATGGCCAGGGACCCTATTCTCTTCCTCCTCCTCAGGCTGATGATAATAGGGGTCTGGGCTAAAGAATGGACAAGGGAGACAAGGTCCCAGAAAATGTGTCAAGTAAACATTATATTTCCAACATGTGGTTAAAATGTGAACATTCAGATGCTTAATAAATAGTGTTTGATTATGATGTCAGGACCAACAGAAGACCAGTGAACAGAAACGCAAGATGCAGCCTGTGAAAAGGTGACATTTGGCTGGTTGAGAGTTCAGGCGAGCCTGCAAATGACTCTATAACTCAAATGCAGCTTCACTGCCTTCCTCCAGGCTTCCCAGCAGCTCCCTGGCCTCCATCCCAGGCACAGTGCTTGACTGGCACTCGTTCCACAAACCTTCCTGGAACCAGCCTTCTGGAATAGGTCTCAGGAGAAAATGCAAGACCTTCCCTTTGTTCTGTTTTTGCTTCTGCTTTGGGGGTTTTGCATTAAAATTCTGCCACCCATCAAACCTTGTTGTACTTATGGAAAACACTGTTCTGCACCTTTACACTAAGTGTTAACTGACCAAGCAAGAACACCTGCAAAGGGAATTCTCCAGCATGGAAGCTGGCCCCCAGCAGCATGTGGGAGCTGTTCCAGGCCCAGACCAACATTTCTTCTTTTATCCCAATTACTCAAAACACACTGAGTTGACTGTTCATTGCAAAAAAATGATTTAATGTATCAACTGACCATAAGAGAAAGGACAAAAGAAGGAAACAAATCTATGGCCTTTCCATTTTAATCAGCAAAACATTAAGGGCATACAACTCCTCCAGGCCCAAAGTGAGCTAACCCACTGGCCTGGCAGGTTTTCATTGGGACAAATGTCTTGATGTACTTAAGAGGCTGGCCTTCTGATGGCGCCTTGTCTGTTTCAGACTTGGATGCCCAGACACCTTTTTGTCTTTGATGCCAATGTTTCAAATTCACTACAAATGCAATACTGACCCCAAGAGGCTGCTGTTTCCAGTCAGCATATCATGCCTTCAGCATATCATGCCTTCAGCATAGTGTAGACCCTCATGGCACTGGCCACTGCGGCAGACCCTTTTGGTTGCCAATCTCATCAATGGCCACCCCACTCCCACCTCTCCTCACCTTTTTCTTTATTATTGTTATGTAAATATTTTATTGCGTTCTGGATAAAATATACATAGCAAACGAGGTTCTCATTTAATAATTTCTATACACATCATTCAAGCTCTGGTGGCAGAGTGTCAAAGGCATTTGACTGCTAAGCAGCAGGTTAGTGGTTCAGACCCACCAGCTACTCTGTAGAAAGAAGACTGGGCAATCTACTTCCGTAAAGATTTACTGCCTCGGAAACACAAAGGGGGTCACTATGAGTCAGAACTGCCTCGATGGCAGTGAGTTCAGTTTGGTTTCTCTTCTTATACATATCATTCAGTGACACTGGTTACGTAATTTGCACAATGTGTCAGCAGCTCATTCTGTCCATTCTGTCTCTATTATCCCTCTTTACCTTCTCATCTTTGGTAGAGGGTCAATGTGGACCATTAATTCTCATTTAGAGGACTGTTTAGAGGAGCACTCATGGGTGATGCTAATTATTTTATGAGCCACTCAAATAGGTGATAGGTCTTTTGGCTGATAGTTGACCCCTGGGAGTGGTTTGTTCCAAGCTTAATAGGTGAAAGGCTTGGGGGTTCATATAGTCTCTACTGGTCCAGTAAGTCTGGCTTTTTTTTTTAGTAATTTGAGTTTTGTTCTATATTTTTCTCCCATTCTAGCCAGGCCCTCACCTTTTTCTTGCTAACAGACTCACACTTTTGTTCAGGTGGCTGACATGGAGCAGTGAGCAGGGAAGGTAGGTTGGCTGGTTTCAGCCTGTGGCACTGCCTTACCATCCTTCTCTGTCCCTGGGTGGTCTTGGGGTGGACATGTGACCCATTTCTGGCTAATGCAGATGTAAGGGGAGATCTGCTGGGGGATTCATAAGAAGAGTTTTCTTCCTTGACATAAGACAGCATCTTAGAAGAAGAAGGCCCCTTCTGGTTGTCCCTTTCCATGTTTGTGCCATCCTGCTTAGAATACTACTGGTAAGGATGTGGTTTCAGAGCTGTAGCAGATATAGTGAGACCTTGCAGGAAAGGCCAAGGGGGTTCCAGATAACTCTCCCTCAGCCCCATGACATTGTGGACATGCTGAGCCAACCTTGGAACTCTAGACTTCTGGTCAGGTGAGATAATTACATGAACTTATCACATAAGTCATGTGAGTTGAGTTTTCCATTACTGGCAGGCAAAGATATGCCTACTATGACAATTACCTAGTTCTTAAATATGTGTGTACTGGCCAAGAGGCAGAGGCTAAGCCTATGGGTGAGCCACAAGTAGCCATTGCTCCAAAAGCAGGAAGCGAATTTGTCCTTCAGCATGGATAAAAGGGAGGAGGGACTCATTCTAATGGACGCAAGACTGGTTTCTCTTTTATGATCCACAAGATTGAGGGACACTCAAAGCTAACCCTGGTGGGCTCAGGCTGGCACCAGAGCAAACCTACCTGCACTTGGGTTCCATGAGGGTAGCACCAGGCCTCCTCAAGAGCTCACAGAGCAAACATACACAAGCCTCCAGTTCATGTCTCCTCTATTCCCCACCTTGATTCCAATGACCTTCCAAATTGTTCAAGTGGACTCTTTCAATTGGGCAGAAAGCACCCTTTTGGTTAATCAGCAATCATGCTGACATGAAATGTTTCCTCCTTCCCTCAACACACACACATACACCCAGATACACACACACTCACTACTTCTAGTGCCATATGGCCACACTTCCTAATTACAATAAAACATAGAACCAACCAGGGCTGCACCTGGCACACTGCTAAGACAGATGATTTCCAGAGCAGGTAACCAGACGGACTCTTGAAACCAGAGGCTCTGTTTTTAGATGGGTGACAACCAGAAGGTCAGCTCCCAAGTGCACTTTACATAAACACCATTTCTCAAACATTCTCGCTTCAAGGTGGATCACAAACACTCAGGTGTTTCAAGGATTACCATCAGGCTGGGAGCCCTTTTCTTTCTTTCTGTGATGTTCAAAGGTATTTCTAAGACAATCATTCAACCTCAGGGTAAGCCTTTTCATAGCACACGGTGGCTGGCAGCCTCTCCTTAGGAATGCATGCTGTCTGGCACGACCAACTAAATGCCTGCAAAGCACAGGGGAAAAGGAAAGAAAGGCACAGAAGGAAACAGATGAGGCCTACCGCAAGAGGTCTGGGATGGTGTGCAGAGAACTGACAGTCTAACTTCTCGGCTTCCTCGGTTCCGTCCATCTCCCCCTCATCACTGGACAGTCGACTGGCAAGGTCACCTCCAACAGGAGCCAGAGGGGGTTCTGGAGTGTAGCCACTGTGATTTGAAGATGCGCTGCTACTTATGCTATTTGCAGATGATGGTCTAGGGGCAAGAGGGGGTGACAAAACAGTCAACATTCCTGAGGTAGCAACATCCACCTAGTTTAAGGGACCTCAGAAAATATCCCAGTTCACCTTCCTGATACATCAGGGAGGACAGGTCGACAGCAAACTTGCACAAGGGAAAAATTAAGGCTAAGAGGTTAGTAGTGACTGCTCTGGCAGTGATCCAGAAGAGTTGAGGTTCTGTCCTAATGTCTGCCCCTGGGGGCAGCAGAACACAGGCACCAGAGAAAACCATAACAGTGAAACTGAATGTAAAATACACAATGTGGCAGTGAGTGAATTTCACCGGAAACTTCTCATCTGTGGATTCAGTTACAACTATCACCCATTGGCAGTTAAATAACACATCTAGATGCTTCCTTTTGGAAGTGGAAACCCTTTCACTGTGCATGGACATATAATTGGGAAAGTGATGGGACAATCAACCAGGTAAACCAGTTCAAACCAATCAATAAAATATCAATGACCAAGAAAGATGGCCCCAGGAACAGGACACATTCTTTGCTATTAAACTAGGATTTTATGAAACTGTTAACACACTGGCCCAAAAATGGATCTTGTGTTGGGCTCACAAATTTGTTCGTTAACAGCTATGAATGTTTCAAGCCACATGTAGTTTAACTGTATCTTCTGAGGATCCATGTGCTCATTTATTTTCTGAAAAGACATTTTAACCACTGCCTGGCATGGCTGGCTCATAGAGGTGCTGAGGAACTCTTTTTCTGATTGAAGGAATGACTGAACTCCATTTATGTAAAACAATCTAATCAGTCTCATCTCAGTTATGGCTGTTGTTGTTAGGCACTGTCTGTTGAGTCACTTTTCAACTCATAGTGACCCCACATGAGTTCTACAGAGTGGAACTGCCCCGTCAGGTTTTCTAGTTTGTAATCTTTATGCAGACTCCCAGGTCCTTCTCCTGAGACGCTGCTGGGTGGGTTCGAACCACCAAACTTTTGGCTAGCAGCCAAACGCTTAACTGTTATACCAGAGGTCTCTCAATTAGGGCTAAACCTATGGTAAAGCAATGTCACAGAAGAGGTGGCACTATGCGTTTCCTAAGTAGTAAAGCGAAACAAAACAAGGCAAAAACAAAAACAAAACAAAGATATTCATAAGAGTAGGTGAGTTAGAAGAGAACAGTCATAGTGAGTTCTGAGTAGTTTTTACCACCTCACCTTCAAGTGATTGACCATGGAAAGGTGGCAAAGACAGGGAGAAAAAGGTTTGGAAAAAAAAAAAAAAACACCTTGTTTCCTGCTTTCTGCTTTTAGAGGCATCCCAAAGTCACATGAAGCACCACAGTGACTCGTCACCCTCTCTCTCATTGCACCCTGGATTCTCTGTTGCTCTGAAATTGCTATCAGTCTCAAACACCAGATTACAAAAGCACAGTTATTCAAAAATAAAGCCACAGGTAATTTTTCAGCCTCAAAATTAGTCTGACAATTTATTAATGACTGTCACCTTCCCATTCTTATAAAAAGAAAGATGCTATTGCTTTGTATGTTTAAAGTCTGGAGTCCAGAGAACACATCTCTACAGGGTGCTCCCTTCTGCATTGGGAGAGGCAACACCATAATTGTCTGCTATAGCTGAAAACTGAAACTGTAGAACGATTTAGAGGACACTGAAATATATGAAGAAAGCAAACAGCATCCTTAATCCTGCCACCCAAGATCAAGTGCTCTTAGCATTTTGGTTTACATCCTTCCAGAGTTTTTAAAAAACTTTTTATTGTGATTTGGGTGAAATTTTACAAAGCAAATTGGTTTTTCATTCGACAATTCCTACTTTGATTCGTGACACTGACTCCCATCTCACGATGTAACAGCGCTCTTCCCACTTCCACCCTGTGTTTGCCACTTCCCTTCATCCTTCTTCCTATCCCTTCCTGCCTTCTGACCTTTATACCCGGGCAAATGCTACCCCTCTGATCTCATAAAGTCGGTTGTTCGAAGGAATGCGTAACTCCTTGGTGTATTATTTTTCACCTTATATGACTGTCTATTGTTCGGCTGAAAGTTGGGTCATGGGGATGAGGTACCCTTGAAGAGTATCTACAGGCCATAGTTTCATGGGTTCCACCAGTCTCTATCAGACCAGGAAGACTGGTCTTTTTTTTTCATTATTATTATTATTTTGAGTTTTGTTCCACATTTTTCTCCCATTCTGTCCAGGTCCTCTTATAGTGAATGATCTCTTTCAGACTGGTCGGCAGTGGTTGCCAGGCACCATCAAATTCTGGTCGCATGGTCCTGGAGGCTGGGGTGTGCATGGTCCATTAGTCCTTTGGACAAATTGTTTCCATATGACTTTGATTTTCTTCACTCTTCTTTGCTCCGGACGGGGAGAGACCAATAGTTGCATCTTAGATGGCCACTCATAAGCTTTTAAGATACCAGTTGCTATTTACCATAGTAGGATGTAGTACACTGTCTTTGTGGACTATGTTATGCCAGTTGACCTTGATGTTTCCTGAGTCCTTTCAGGTTTCTTTATTGTGCATATATATGCATGTATGCATGTGCCTTTTTAAGCAAAAACTGGACCACATTGTACATACTATTTTGAGACATGTTTTTTTTTTTTTTTTAAAAAAACCCAAAACTAGCAATGTAGAAATCTTTTCATGTCAGTAAATACAGAATATATCATTATTTTTCATATTCCACAGTGTTCCATAGTATACCAAAATCAAACTCACTGCCAGCGGAGTTGGATCCAACTCATAGCAACCCCTCCTTGGGTTTCTGAGGCGGTATCACTACGGAAGCAGATTGCCCAACCTTCCTTCCAAGGAGTGGCTGGTGGGTTTGAACTGCCAGCCTTCTAGTTAGCAGTCAAGTGCCTTGGGCACTACGCTAGTATAGATATATCATAACTTATTTAACTATTATTCTACTGATGGACATTGAAATTGTTCCCAAACTTCCTAACAGGCTCTTTCTGAAGCCTTCTACACCCTGTCCTGTTAGTGATGAATGGCAGCTGGATTTTGTTAAGAATGGTAACAGTATTATGGTTATATAGAAAAATATTTTTTAAAGATGCACTTGGGAGTCTTTAGAGGTAAAATGTCATGATATCTGCAATTTACTTCAAAATATATCAGAAAAAAAGTATAAATGAAGAAAATACAGCAAAATATTAACATAACAAGTATTAAAACTAGGTAATGGGTATGTGGTTGTTCATTGTACTAGTGTTTCTACTTTTCAGTACAAAATTTCATAACAGAAAGTTTGGAAAAAAAAAACCGAAAGAAAAGAAAATGAGCTGGTTGTGCAGGTATGTGTAAGAGAGTGGCTAAGGAATGTCCTGTTAAAAATGGCAGGTGGATCTCACACATTTCTCTCTCTCCAACCCCAAATCCCACTGTAATGACAATAAAGGGTTAAAAAAAGGTATTAGCCCTGAAGAAGAAAGAGTTCAGCTGAGAAGATGTGGTGCTGGTTTATGGAGATGACTTCCCAACACCCATTTAAACCCTAAGCAAGTAACAGAAATCTCATTTATATTGATAATGATTCAGAAAAAGACATAAGAAATAACAGAAAGTGAGTTTTTTTTGGGGGGTGGGGTGGGGAAGGGAGTGGTACTGAGGGCCTTCTGGAAAGATTTTTTCTCACTTTTGCAAAGGGCACAAGGAAGAAGTGAACCCCACCTTCATCTAGACCTTGTTATATCTGGATGTGCCTAGAACTACCACAGCCATCCTGTTACGGACTTTGAGGAAAAAACAAAACAATGAAGAGGGTTGAATGAAAGAAGGGCAAGAGAGCCAACTCCTGACCTGTCAGGCCTGGTGTCCCTTTATCTCTGGCTAAGAAATTTCCTAATTATGTAAACCTTTGGTAGTCTAGGAGCTCTGGTGGTGTAGTACCTAAGGCATTTGACTGCTAACTAGAAGGCTTGCAGTTCAAACCCACCAGCCACTCCTCAGAA